AAAAAAAGGTTGTATTGGGAAAATCTGCTGTCAGTGACCTCTAGGTGCACCTGATTCAATCCATGGTCTTTTCAATTCTTTGCCATGCATCTGGAAGTTGGACAGTGAGTAAGAATGACCAGAGAAGAATGGATACCTTTGAAATGTGTTGGTGAAGAGTACTGAATATCTTCATGCAATTCCAAAAGAACAAACAAGTCTGTCCTGGAAGACCTGCAGCCCCGGGGTTCTTTAGAGACAAGGATGGTGAAAAATCTGCCTCACATGCTTTGGGCATGTTTCCAGGAGGGGGTAGTTCTTTGCAAAAGGCATCATGCAGAGTCAGATTAAGAGAAGAAGACGAGGGAGCTCTGGTGGCCTAGTGGCAAGAAGCTGCACTGCAATCCCAGAGGTGTGTGGTTTGAATCCACCAGATCTTCTGCTGGAGAAGGAGGAGCAATCTCCTCCTGTACCAGTCAGATCCAATTTGATGGTACACACACACAAAATAATTAAAATTTTTAAAACTTTAAAAAAGAGAGAGACATTCAACAAAATGGGTTGACACAGTGACTGTAACAATAGGCTTACAAAGTGGAAGTGAAGATGACACAGGATAGGGCTTAGATTTGTTTAGATTTGTTGTTCACAAGGTCTCTGTGAGTCAGAGTCAACTCCAGAGCACCTCAGGAAACTAACCAAAAGGTCAGCCATTTATACCCATCAGCCTCCTTGGAAGAAGAGCTCGCAGTGTGCTTTCTTATAGACTGGAGTCCTGAAAGCTCTCTGTTGCTGTTCTACTCTGCCTCCAGGGTTGCTGCGAGTCAGAATTGACTCCGTGGCAATGGCTTTGAGTTTTGGTTTATGAAGCAGTATAGAACAAGTAGTAGACATGTTACCTTCTAAACAAAAATTTCAGTAACTTCCCTTGCCTCCCTCCCCAAAATAAATCTAAGTTAAATTTGAAAGGTGATGATGATGGTACCTCAGAATTAAAATGTCTGATCCTTTCAACTGGGTTGGGGGTGGCTTACTAGTAAAACAATTATAGTTCTAATCAAGAAACATGAAGAAGCATTATCCATCCACTGCTGTCTTACAATATATTACATGGCACTTAGGGATGGCTTGAAGGGAAAGGAAGGTTATGATTCTCACGAAAGCTATGCTTCATTTCTACTTCTCTCTGGACATGCTGTCCTTGCCTGACCTCATTGAGAGTCATGATTTAATGCTGGTGATTCTCAGTTCTCAATCCTTCACCCAGAACTTCAACTCTGACCTTTGGTACTATACTTTCCCTACTTATGTTGATCTCTAGTGTAATCTCCAACTAGCCCAATGGTCTAGCCAATACACAAGCAGAAGAACTAAGCCTGAACTGCCCCAAAATGCCTAAAGCTTCTAAGAAAAGAAGTATATGCAGTGAAAAGATGGGAGAAGGCCGAAAACAGGCAGATGAAATGAGATGGGACCCAAGGACTTGGCGACATTGAGGAATCTTGACATGAAAGAAAAAAAAGAGAGAGAAAGAGTTTTCTAACAAGTTTTCTTCTAACTTTGAATAGCTTGTTGCCAAGTGATCTGAGGCCTTGTAAGAGCTTTGCTGGGAAAAGCTTCTGTCCTGTGCCGTTGCTATGAGAAGCCTTTGTTTGTTTATTAGTTTGATTTACAAAAGGCACCAGATGTTTAAAAATCTCAAGCCACATGCATAATCAACATGACATCATTAAAATGCTAATGATAGCAAACCCTCTGCAAACACTTTCTCTCCAACAATGGGAGACGCTGTTCTTTTCAAAACCCAAAAAGAACAAACCTGCCTTTGGTTTTCCCACCACAATTTCCCATTTGTTTTTGTTTGAAGACCTTTTATCTGAAAATAGTAACTCAAGCCTTAGGCTAGTACAATGTTAGTCTGTCTTGATTCCTAAACAAAAATTTGCTGTGAAAACTATAGTTGTTGTTTTTGTTATTGTCGTTATTGTTGTGTACAATTGAGTCTGAACTGATCCATAGCTGACCTTCCAGTGCCTTTTCAAAGACAGTTAATCACACAGGAGGAGATTGCCCATTCTTCTCCTGGGTAGCAGCTGGTGGATTTGAACTTTCAGGATTGCAGGGCAGCTTTTTTACCATTAGTATCCTATTAATTTCTTAGAGTTTGCCAAAGAAGATTATTTTTTTTAATCATTACCCAGTTATCTTTAAGCCATTCAGATCTATTAGCTTGAGAATTCTTATTTATTACAACTATGTACCCAAAAAAGGCTTGTTTTTTCCTAACATGACTCAGAGCAAAAGACCAAGTTGAAGCGTATGCAAGCATATTTTGCCTGCAGAAGCAGCAATGTTGTAGGATTCAACCTAATGTACTTAGCATATGCAGTGGTGGACATGAGAAGTACTGAGACAGATCCTTAACAGGTCCTCTCAGACTTTCCAGTAACCACATTCCAAGGAGAAAAAGCAGTTGTTCTTTCCACCGTCACATGGAGCGGAGGTGGTGGCCTTTTCTTGGGTCTTGCTTACACTGTGACAGGGGCCATGACGTGGCTGGCCTTCTTTTCAATGATGGCAATTCACTTAAAGCTGAAGAAAAAGAAAATATTCTTCCTCCAGCTGTAAAGCTGTAAGAAGAAAAGTAGAAACCAGAATTGGATGGTGAAAGAACAAATTCTAAGACCATTAATCAGGTTTCACATGATTGAAATATTTCAACAAGGGCACCTGAATTAATTGACCAAATGCAATCCTGTTGTTGTTAAGTACCACGGAGTCAGAACCCACCCATAGCTGACCTTCCAGCAAGTTCTCAGAGGCAGTTAATCCCACGGGAGGAGATTGCTCACCCTTCTCCGGTGGTGCAGTTGGTGGATTCAAACAATGCATCTTTGAGCTGGCAGTGCAATTTCTTTGCCATTAAGCCACCAGAGCCCCCTATTTGAATGATAGTAGTGTTAATAGGTCTTCCTTGTATGCATTTGGATAGTATGTTACCACTCACAAAGTTGTACTTCAGGATGGATTTAGAAATGATCTTTTTTACTATGAATGCAACCTCATTTCCCCTCACATTTTCATTCCTGGAAATATGGCTATCTGATTCAAAGTGGCCCATGCCAATCCATCTTAGCTCACCAATGAGTAGTATGTCAATATTTATGCAATGATAGGTAAATAAACGATGAGAATTTGTGTTTGGAAGATTGAGATTGTTTTTATTTTTGAAGAAGAAAGAAAAGGTTTAATTATGTGTATGAAAGGACCCTAGGAATGAAGAGGATAAATTATCCTCAGATGAATGCCTTGGACTAGATGAATGCTAATCTTGACTGGCTGACTGAAATTATTTCAAACTCTTGGCAATAATGGTTGATGTTACTTGGATATCAGCATGATTTAGAAAACTAGTTCGTTTATCTCCCCTTTCTATTAAGTCCTAATGACATTTTCTCTGCTAAAAAAACCCAAACAAAACAACAACAACAACAAAAAAGTTTAAAGGAGATAGTAATGTCCCCAGCATGCAAAATACAACAACGCACCAAAAAGAAAGAACAGATCATTTTCTCTAGTTATCCATATCGTGAGGGAAGTTCTGTGAGACTATACTCAGCTTGATGAAAGCACAGAGCAATTCTAGAACGTTTATTGTTGTTGTTGTTGTTATTGTTAGGTGCCGCCGAGTTGCCTGTGACTCATAGCAACCCTAGGTACAACAGCTCTGAACCCTGCTCTGTCTTGAGCCAGCCTTATTGTTTGTGACACATCTGCTCTCATTACCTTAGTCATTAAGTCAACCCATAACATCCAGGGTCTTCCTCTCTTGTGCTGTCCCTCCAACCTCCTAAGCATGATATTTCTCTCTAAGGACTCATTCCTTTTTGCAACATGCCTGGAGTATGTCAGATGAAACTTTAGAATCCTTGCCTCCAAGCAGCAGCCTGGTCTCACCCTCTCTATCTAGGATGAACCTGTTTGTTCTTATCACAGTCCATGGTATATTCAACACTCTTCTCCAGCACCACAGCTCAAAGGCATCAATTCTCCTTCCATCATCCCTAGTCATTGTCCAACTTTCTGATGCATAGCAAGTAATTGCAGTCTCCAGTCTGATGTTGCTCTTCAGTACTCTGGAGAGGCCCCTGACAGCAGACTTTGGCAATGCAATTCTATCTATCTATCTATCTATCTATCTATCTATCTATCTATCTATCTATCTATCTATCTATTATTTCCTGGCTGCTGGTACCAAAAGTGACTTTATAATACTTGAGTTATATTTTTTTGAGGAATGCTTCTACAGGCCCCTCTTAGAAAGTTTGAGTTCTTGCCAAAGGTCACTTACAGAAAGTTGGAAGCTACCCATTATGGGAAGCTGTCTGTGTACAAAAATGTCCACAAGATAAGACTTTTTAAGGCATTTTTGTTTTTCTTTTTGTGGTTGGAGAAGCTTTTTCTCCTTGATGACTCAAAAAACAGTTTTCATTATTAAGCAAAACACTGTGCTAACACGTTTGTCTCATTAGAAGTCAAGGAAGACATTCTTTGTTGCAGTTTCCTGCATTCACCACACACCTTTCCAAAGAAATAAAATGGTTTTAAGTCTCAACTCTGAAATCTTGAATTCTTTTCTATGTTGCCTTCCCTCTAGTGACCAAGTACTGAATAATGCTGCACTTCTAAAGGTGTCTGCATCCTGATCCCTACCGCCTGTGAAGGTAATTTCCTATGGAAAATAAATCTTGCAGATAAAATTAAGCTGAGCATTTTGAGATGAGATGATCTTGAATTAACCAGGGTAGACCTCATGTAATCTCAGGGGTCATATATAAAGAGACAGAGAGAGAGACGGAGATGAATACATAGATAAACTTTATCTATTTGGAGAGAAAGCAGTCATATGGCCATAGAAGAAAATATTAGTGTAATGCACAGAAGAGGCCATGATCCAAGGAATGCAGGTGGCTTCTAGAATCTGAAAAAGGCAGGGAACGGATTTCTCTCCTAAAGCCTCCAGAACTCCTGCCCTGCAAACACTGTGATTTTAGACTTCTGTTCATTCAAAGTATAAGAAAATAAATCTGTGTAGTTTTAAACCACTAAGTTTATCCAACAATCTTAAATAAAGAATACTCTAGAAGTTTGGAGTGCTCTGTCATCTGAGTGGTTGTTGTTCAGTTTTAAGCCACCTCTCTCCAGGCAATGGAAGGGAGGGGACAGAGCTCATAGCTAAATAGTCCTATTGACTCTTTCCTCATTAGTCTGCACTCCTCCAACGTGGTGCTGACTGAAGAGGGCATGGACACGTCTGTTAATGTTAGCTTGCTTATCAGCTAACAGAATGCCACCAGGGCTGGGTCACCCCACCCACTGTGCTCCTGTTCCTCAGTGCACTTTGAACCTCTTGATGCTGTTATAAAGGATCTTTCTCAAAGCAAAGTTCTATTCACAAGAAACTTTTCCAGAAAGATTAATGGATAGAGTTTATGACAGAATAGAGATTGTGTGATTGTTTCCTCTACTTCTGCGGAAGTCAACAAGCCCAGTGTAGGTTATGTTTGCAAGACTCTAACCCTGCTATAAAATGTGGATATTGTCCTTCTCATCCATCCTTTAGGGGAAAAGCACCATCATACAATGAGACATTTAACTTTCCCAGTTTTCTTTTTCTCATTTTCCCTCTTCTTTCTCCCATTATCTTGCTTTTGTCTTCCTCTTCCACTTTTCTGTTTATTCATCCTTGTGTTTTTGTGTATTAGTTGATAATAGATTGGGGGAGGGGAGAGGAAGCTGGGTGCTATACTTTCTCTAATTCTTGGCAACAATACTAGAAAGAGGTGAGAAATTACAAGAATGAGAAGAAAGACAAAGAGCAAACCCAAGAATCTCTGTGTATATGTGTAAGAGAGAGAAAGATTGGGCTGTGAGAATAATTATATAGAGATTTCAGATGCTTTTATTATGAGACTTTGAGATGCTTTTATTTAGATGTGGTAGCTAATAGTGGAGTGTACTCAGGGCGGTGGGAGGGGTGCGGGGGGGATTGTATACTAAAGAAGGAATTTTGCTTTTGCTTTTCAAAGATAGGAGTGAACTGGGGTGGGGGAGTGGGGGAGAAGGCTGGGTAGGGAGAAAAGTGCAACAATGAATGAATGAAAATCCAAAATCTCTGTAAATGTTCATTAAAATTAATAAAATAAATTTTTTTAAAAAACAGAATTTCACAGTGACCATAACAAAAAAATACAACAATTCTAGCTTTGATCCAGAATAAACTACACTTGGCAAAATTTAAAAAAAAAAAAAGAAGGTACACTGCAATCCCAAAGTCCACCAGCTGCTCAATGGGAGAAGGAGGGACAATCTCCTCCCGTACTATTAACTGCCTCTGAAAACCTGCTGATTTCAGCTGTGGGTTGGGTCCGACTTTATGGTACACTACACAACAACAACAACACAGTTATAAATGTATAATCAGAGGCAACTAACTCAATTCAGCTTATTGCCATTGAGTCAGAACTGACTCATAGCTGATCTTCTAGTGGTTTTTCAAAAGCTGTAAATCACACAGGAGGAGATTGCCCATCTTTCTCCCTTAGCACTCTTGATGGATTCCAACCACCAGAGAGACACCCCTTTCATTTAACAGGCAACTCCCTACGGACCACACAGGCAGTAGGCGTGAAGTTGGGTAAGATGAAACTATGGATTGCTAAAGGGTCTACCAGCACCCCTCTGTTGGTTTTACTATAGTGAGTTGCATGTTGCCATGATGATGAAAGGTCTACCACCAACCAGTATCTCAAACATCAGCAAGGTCACCTTGGTGGACAGATATCAGTGATGCTTACAGATGCTTACAAACTAACACAGAATAATGATCAGGAAGAAAGACCTGGCGGTCTATTTCTGAAAAGTAAACGGTGAAAAGCTGATGGATCACAGCAGAACACTATCCCACGGAGTGCTGGAAGATGAGTTCCCCTACTTGGAAGTGACTCAAAATACACAATGGAGTGGAGCACACCAATGATCCTGAAGATGGCACAGGACCGACAACATTTTTACCTTGTACATGGGTTGTCATGGGTCAGAGGCAATTTGACAGCAACCAATGACTGAAGTGTCTAGGAGTTGATCTTTATTAAAAATTTGTTCATTTAATCTCTACCATGTGTGACAGATCCTCGATGCTGGGGATACCTAAATGAGCCAGATGGGCTTATGCTCCGAAGGGTTTTATCTTCCATGGGTCTTTGAATCCTTCCTTCCAACACACTCACAGCTCCCACACACAGAGGAGCAGACGCCTAGTCCCTTACAGAGCTTTCTTTCATCTGCACTGCACCAGGCTTGCCTCCCCAGAAGAGGCGGTGATTCCGCAGAGCAGCACCAGATTGCAGTTCTCTGTATAATCCCAGCACCAGCACTGTGCTGGGCACAGAGGTGTTCAAGTGGATAAAAACTTACTGATTCAGACACAACAACATAATCTTTCCCAGTCTGCATTATAGCTGTTTCTCCATCTGGTTTGTTTTATGGTAAAGGCTTTTTTAACCAAATACTAATAAAAGAATAGCAGTTCAGACAGCTGCTGGTGGTTTTCTTTTGCAGTGTGTCCA